TGTACAGGAGGACCCTGCTTATACAGCAGGTTAGGTTCCAGGTTACTGCTGTACAGGAGGACCCTGCTTATACAGCAGGTTAGGTTCCAAGTTACTGCTGTACAGGAGGACCCTGCTTATACAGCAGGTTAGGTTCCAGGTTACTGCTGTACAGGAGGACCCTGCTTATACAGCAGGTTAGGTTCTGGGCTACTGCTGTACAGGAGGACCCTGCTTATACAGCAGGTTAGGTTCCAGGTTACTGCTGTACAGGAGGACCCTGCTTATACAGCAGGTTAGGTTCTGAGCTACTGCTGTACAGGAGGACCCTGCTTATACAGCAGGTTAGGTTCCAGGTTACTGCTGTACAGGAGGACCCTGCTTATACAGCAGGTTAGGTTCTGAGCTACTGCTGTACAGGAGGACCCTGCTTATACAGCAGGTTAGGTTCCAGGTTACTGCTGTACAGGAGGACCCTGCTTATACAGCAGGTTAGGTTCTGAGCTACTGCTGTACAGGAGGACCCTGCTTATACAGCAGGTTAGGTTCCAGGTTACTGCTGTACAGGAGGACCCTGCTTATACAGCAGGTTAGGTTCTGAGCTACTGCTGTACAGGAGGACCCTGCTTATACAGCAGGTTAGGTTCTGAGCTACTGCTGTACAGGAGGACCCTGCTTATACAGCAGGTTAGGTTCTGAGCTACTGCTGTACAGGAGGACCCTGCTTATACAGCAGGTTAGGTTCCAGGTTACTGCTGTACAGGAGGACCCTGCTTATACAGCAGGTTAGGTTCTGAGCTACTGCTGTACAGGAGGACCCTGCTTATACAGCAGGTTAGGTTCTGAGCTACTGCTGTACAGGAGGACCCTGCTTATACAGCAGGTTAGGTTCTGAGCTACTGCTGTACAGGAGGACCCTGCTTATACAGCAGGTTAGGTTCTGAGCTACTGCTGTACAAGAGGACCCTGCTTATACAGCAGGTTAGGTTCTGGGCTACTGCTGTACAGGAGGACCCTGCTTATACAGCAGGTTAGGTTCTGGGCTACTGCTGTACAGGAGGACCCTGCTTATACAGCAGGTTAGGTTCTGGGCTACTGCTGTACAGGAGGACCCTGCTTATACAGCAGGTTAGGTTCTGGGCTACTGCTGTACAGGAGGACCCTGCTTATACAGCAGGTTAGGTTCTGGGCTACTGCTGTACAGGAGGACCCTGCTTATACAGCAGGTTAGGTTCTGGGCTACTGCTGTACAGGAGGACCCTGCTTATACAGCAGGTTAGGTTCTGGGCTACTGCTGTACAGGAGGGCCCTGCTTATACAGCAGGTTAGGTTCTGGGCTACTGCTGTACAGGAGGACCCTGCTTATACAGCAGGTTAGGTTCTGGGCTACTGCTGTACAGGAGGGCCCTGCTTATACAGCAGGTTAGGTTCTGGGCTACTGCTGTACAGGAGGGCCCTGCTTATACAGCAGGTTAGGTTCTGGGCTACTGCTGTACAGGAGGGCCCTGCTTATACAGCAGGTTAGGTTCTGGGCTACTGCTGTACAGGAGGACCCTGCTTATATAGCAGGTTAGGTTCTGGGCTACTGCTGTACAGGAGGGCCCTGCTTATACAGCAGGTTAGGTTCTGGGCTACTGCTGTACAGGAGGGCCCTGCTTATACAGCAGGTTAGGTTCTGGGCTACTGCTGTACAGGAGGACCCTGCTTATACAGCAGGTTAGGTTCTGGGCTACTGCTGTACAGGAGGGCCCTGCTTATACAGCAGGTTAGGTTCTGGGCTACTGCTGTACAGGAGGGCCCTGCTTATACAGCAGGTTAGGTTCTGGGCTACTGCTGTACAGGAGGGCCCTGCTTATACAGCAGGTTAGGTTCTGGGCTACTGCTGTACAGGAGGACCCTGCTTATACAGCAGGTTAGGTTCTGGGCTACTGCTGTACAGGAGGACCCTGCTTATACAGCAGGTTAGGTTCTGGGCTACTGCTGTACAGGAGGGCCCTGCTTATACAGCAGGTTAGGTTCTGGGCTACTGCTGTACAGGAGGGCCCTGCTTATACAGCAGGTTAGGTTCTGGGCTACTGCTGTACAGGAGGGCCCTGCTTATACAGCAGGTTAGGTTCTGAGCTACTGCTGTACAGGAGGACCCTGCTTATACAGCAGGTTAGGTTCTGGGCTACTGCTGTACAGGAGGGCCCTGCTTATACAGCAGGTTAGGTTTGGGCTACTGCTGTACAGGAGGACCCTGCTTATACAGCAGGTTAGGTTCTGAGCTACTGCTGTACAGGAGGACCCTGCTTATACAGCAGGTTAGGTTCTGGGCTACTGCTGTACAGGAGGACCCTGCTTATACAGCAGGTTAGGTTCTGAGCTACTGCTGTACAGGAGGACCCTGCTTATACAGCAGGTTAGGTTCTGAGCTACTGCTGTACAGGAGGACCCTGCTTATACAGCAGGTTAGGTTCTGGGCTACTGCTGTACAGGAGGACCCTGCTTATACAGCAGGTTAGGTTCTGGGCTACTGCTGTTCAGGAGGACCCTGCTTATACAGCAGGTTAGGTTCCAGGTTACTGCTGTACAGGAGGACCCTGCTTATACAGCAGGTTAGGTTCCAGGTTACTGCTGTACAGGAGGACCTGCTTATACAGCAGGTTAGGTTCCAGGTTACTGCTGTACAGGAGGACCCTGCTTATACAGCAGGTTAGGTTCCAGGTTACTGCTGTACAGGAGGACCCTGCTTATACAGCAGGTTAGGTTCCAGGTTACTGCTGTACAGGAGGACCCTGCTTATACAGCAGGTTAGGTTCCAGGTTACTGCTGTACAGGAGGACCCTGCTTATACAGCAGGTTAGGTTCTGAGCTACTGCTGTACAGGAGGACCCTGCTTATACATCAGGTTAGGTTCCAGGTTACTGCTGTACAGGAGGACCCTGCTTATACAGCAGGTTAGGTTCCAGGTTACTGCTGTACAGGAGGACCCTGCTTATACAGCAGGTTAGGTTCTGAGCTACTGCTGTACAGGAGGACCCTGCTTATACAGCAGGTTAGGTTCTGGGCTACTGCTGTACAGGAGGACCCTGCTTATACAGCAGGTTAGGTTCTGAGCTACTGCTGTACAGGAGGACCCTGCTTATACAGCAGGTTAGGTTCTGGGCTACTGCTGTACAGGAGGACCTAAAAAGTACATATGAAGAACACACATTGCTAACCTTTTAATATTTTCGTCTTCAGCTTATAGTGAGTAGTGAGTGTATTGTAGCAAGTCTGAATAAATAAAGAATGTGTTAGCATTGTTGACAAAACTGCTGTGTTAGCAAAATGCTGTAAAGCAAAGTGCTGTAAAGTGAAGCACTGTAAAGTGAAGCACTGTAAAGCAAAGTGCTGTAAAGTGAAGCACTGTAAAGTGAAGCACTGTAAAGCAAAGTGCTGTAAAGTGAAGCACTGTAAAGTGAAGCACTGTAAAGCAAAGTGCTGTAAAGTGAAGCACTGTAAAGCAAAGTGCTGTAAAGTGAAGCACTGTAAAGCAAAGTGCTGTAAAGTGAAGCACTGTAAAGCAAAACATTGTAAAGCAAAGCGCTGTAAAGTGAAGCACTGTAAAGCAAAACATTGTAAAGCAAAGCGCTGTAAAGTGAAGCACTGTAAAGTGAAGCACTGTAAAGCAAAACATTGTAAAGCAAAGCGCTGTAAAGTGAAGCACTGTAAAGCAAAACATTGTAAAGCAAAGCGCTGTAAAGTGAAGCACTGTAAAGTGAAGCACTGTAAAGCAAAACATTGTAAAGCAAAGCGCTGTAAAGTGAAGCACTGTAAAGCAAAACATTGTAAAGCAAAGCGCTGTAAAGTGAAGCACTGTAAAGCAAAACATTGTAAAGCAAAAGTGAAGCACTGTAAAGCAAAACATTGTAAAGCAAAAGTGAAGCACTGTAAAGCAAAACATTGTAAAGCAAAAGTGAAGCACTGTAAAGCAAAACATTGTAAAGCAAAGTGAAGCACTATAAAGCAAAACATTGTAAAGCAAAAGTGAAGCACTGTAAAGCAAAACATTGTAAAGCAAAAGTGAAGCACTGTAAAGCAAAACATTGTAAAGCAAAAGTGAAGCACTGTAAAGCAAAACATTGTAAAGCAAAGTGAAGCACTATAAAGCAAAACATTGTAAAGCAAAGTGAAGCACTGTAAAGCAAAACATTGTAAAGCAAAGTGAAGCACTGTAAAGCAAAACATTGTAAAGCAAACTGAAGCACTATAAAGCAAAACATTGTAAAGCAAAGTGAAGCACTGTAAAGCAAAACATTGTAAAGCAAAAGTGAAGCACTGTAAAGCAAAACATTGTAAAGCAAAGTGAAGCACTATAAAGCAAAACATTGTAAAGCAAAGTGAAGCACTGTAAAGCAAAACATTGTAAAGCAAAGTGAAGCACTGTAAAGCAAAACATTGTAAAGCAAACTGAAGCACTATAAAGCAAAACATTGTAAAGCAAAGTGAAGCACTATAAAGCAAAACATTGTAAAGCAAAGTGAAGCACTGTAAAGTGAAGCACTATAAAGCAAAACATTGTAAAGCAAAGTGAAGCACTGTAAAGTGAAGCACTATAAAGCAAAACATTGTAAAGCAAAGTGAAGCACTGTAAAGTGAAGCACTATAAAGCAAAACATTGTAAAGCAAAGTGAAGCACTATAAAGCAAAACATTGTAAAGCAAAGTGAAGCACTGTAAAGCAAAACATTGTAAAGCAAAGTGAAGCACTATAAAGCAAAACATTGTAAAGCAAAGTGAAGCACTGTAAAGTGAAGCACTATAAAGCAAAACATTGTAAAGCAAAGTGAAGCACTATAAAGCAAAACATTGTAAAGCAAAGTGAAGCACTATAAAGCAAAACATTGTAAAGCAAAGTGAAGCACTATAAAGCAGGGCTTTCCAGTAGCACATTTATTATATAAAGTCTGAATAAATGAAGAATGGCTATAACTGAAAACTGTTGCATTAGCAAAATTGCCATAAAGCAAAGTACCATAAAGTGGGGCCATCCCATACTTAAAGTGCGACGTAAGGAAGGCCAGCGCCAGCATCACCAGGACGCTGGTAATGATGCCACCTGCCGTAGTCTTGACGCCGCTGGTGGCATTGACGGCAGTTCGGGAGAATGACCCTGTCACTGGCATCGATTGCACGAATGACCCCAGCAAGTTGCAGAACCCCAGGGCATACATCTCCTGCAACACATGTTTGTTGATGAAGCTTTGAAAAACACTTATTAAGTTGATGAATAAGACACTTGTTCAACACTTGCGTATCTTCATTATCTTGTTCATCAGTAAAGACACTCAAGTGTTGACCAAGTCTTGTTCATCAATAATGACACCCAAGTGTTGAACAAGTGACTTATTCATCAATAATGACACCCAAGTGTTGAACAATCGCCTTATTCATCAACTTTTCAGTTTTTTTTTTTATCCATTTTTACAATATTATTAATATCTGACAGTATCTGATATTGTTCTTTCATAGATCATATGAGAGAGAGAAACAGATGATGATGGTCTCTAGGCACCATGATGGTAATGCCGGAACAGTATTAAGGATGAATGGGAGGGTGTTGGCACCTGGGGAAGAAGTTGATATCCTTGGGGTGAAATTTGACTCCAAACTGACCATGAAGAACCATGTTGTAAATCTTGCAAACCAGGCAACCAGGAAGCTTACAGCATCTGCTTGACAGTAGAGGTTGCAAGATTCTGTATGAGGCACAAGTACGCTCACACCTTGAGTATGCTCCACTTTCTTGGTTTGCCTGCCCCCTCTCTCATCTGCAACTGCTTGACAGAGCAGAGAACAGAGCAAGACATCTCATCTCTTGCCTAGACCAATCCTGGATAGATCTGTCATTTTAGCAGAGCCTTGTGCAAGAATGGTATATAATACCGACAAGATGAAATTAAGACACATGTGCAACATCTGGGTATCTTTATTGTAGATGTTTTACCATCCAGTGGCTTTATCAATATAAATTCCAGGACATAACTTGAAGACAGTAGGACTATATACAGAAGATGAGGTAATCAGTCCCTCAATCTAGGAGTAGGTGTGAAGAGCACCGTAGTCGTGGAGATTCTGAAGCAGAAGTAAGGAGCCTGGCACTTACATACTAACGTCAGGTGTAGCAGACGAGGGCATAGTCACTGGTAGGCGGGATTCCCCAGTGGAAGTAGGTACTTCCCAAACAGATGGGTTAGTTGTAGTAGTAGTTGTCGTAGTCGTGAAGGTTATGTACATGTCCTCAGAATCAAGATTCCATGATGTTGCAGTGTCTGACAAGTTGTGCAAGAATGGTATATAAAACTGACAAGATGAAATTAAGACACATGTGCAACATCTGGGTATCTTTATTGTAGGACTGTATATAGTCCTACTGTCTTCAAGTTATGTCCTGGAATTTATATTGATAAAGCCACTGGATGGCGAAACGTCTACAATAAAGATACCCAGATGTTGCACATGTGTCTTAATTTCATCAGCAGAGCCTTCAACATAGGAGGGATGTGGGTGGCCTTACTGTTATGTACAAGGCCAATATTGTCAAAGTATCACACTTGGATCCACTTTGAGGACAGCGTGAAGCAAGCTTCTATACCATAAGACTGGCAGAAAGCAGCAACTTCACTCTGGCTGTACCCTTCTCCAGAACATCACTTCATCTGAGATCATTTATCCCCAAGATGACTCAAGTATGGAACACATTTGTACAGCATTATGATGTCAATGAGATAGAGGCTGTTGATCAAATGAAAATGCTGACCCACAGATGGCTCCAACTTCATCCTGTTCCCTACTTGTATGTCTCATAACAATAAAAATGCTTTCAAATGAGCTGATGTAGGTAACAGCTCTTAGCTTGTCAATAAAGTTAGGAATCTTTAACCTGTAAATAGCTTGTCAATAAAGCTAGGAATCTTTAACCTAACCTTGTCAAACCCTGTGTAAAAAAAAAAAAAAAGAGCATCCCACCTGCTTGGCATCCAGAGTCTTGCCACCACAGAAAGCATTAGCAATAGCCACAGTGCCCAAGATGGAAAGAATGGGGATAATAGCAACTCCAGATCCAATGTCCTCCAAGATGTCGCCGAATGAGAGAGTCGTTCCATTAACCACGGCAGTAAACTGTGGCAACCTGACCGCTGGTAGACCAGGTACAACCTCTCCTGCAATACAATATATACGTATATTAACTACATTTCTTCTCCATGGGTAAGTGGAGCAGAATTCTTCCTCCGTAAGCCATGTGTGTCGTAAGAGGCAACTGAAATGCTGGGAGCAAGGGGCTAGTAACCCCTTCTCCGGTATACATTACTATAGTCAAAAAGAGAAGCTTTTGTTTTTCGTTTTTGGGCCACTCTGTTTCAGTGGGATATGACAGTTTTGTTGAAAGAAGAACTACATCTCTATCATCATATGTTTATTATATGCAAGGGTTTTAAACGAATGTAAAGAGGAACTTAGCAAACATTTGGCTAATCTTTTTAACATGTCACTACAAACTGGCATAGTGCCTGACAAGTGGAAAATGGCAAATGTAATACCTATTTACAAAGCAGGTGACAGGTCCTTAGCTTCAAACTACAGACCAATAAGCCTAACCTTCATAGTGGGAAAATTTATGATATCAATAACTGTCGAAGTAATTTGTAGCCATCTTGAAGGGCATAAATTGATTACTGAATCTCAACAAGGTTTTACAAAGGGGCATTCCTGCCTTACAAATTTACAAACTTTATTCAGCAAGGTATTTGAGGAGGTAAATCATTGTAATGAATATGATATTGTGTATATGGACATAAGTAAGGCCTTCCATAGAGTTACAAATCAGAGGCTGTTGAGGAAACTTAAGGCACACAGAATAGGAGGAGAAATTTTTTCCTGGGTAGAGGCATGGTTGACAAATAGGCAGCAGAGAGTTTGCATAAACAGGAAGAAATCAGAGTGGGGGCACATCACAAGCGGTGTTCCATAGAGGTCAGTGTTGGGTCCCTTGTTGTTCACAATTTACATAAACGATATAAACGAGGGAATAAATAGCGACATAAGCAAATTTGTTGATGACACCAAAATAGGCCGTCCAATTCATTCTATGAGGACATTAGAGCACTCCAGGATGATTTGAATAGACTGATGCAGTGGTTGCAGAAGTGGCAGATGCAGCTTAATATAGAAAAATGCAAAGTTCTAAATGTTGGACAGAAAAATAACCATGTCACATATAAACTAAATAATGTAGATCTTAATACTACTGATTGTGAGAAGGATTTAGGAGTTCTGATTAGCAGTAATTTGAAACCAAGACAACAGTGCACTTATGTTATTTGTGCAGGGGATCAACAGCAGCAACTCACCTAAAGCCAATAATAACCCAACAGAAAGCTGCAGTAAGAATTATCACACAATCCAATGCAAGACAACACACACCCCCACTCTTCAAAGACCTAAACCTACTCACCGTACAGAACATTCACACCTACTATTGTGCAACCTACATTTACAGAACCATAAATTTTAATATTAACCCTGAACTAAAACACTTTCTGGATAGTTGCAACAGGACCCATAGACACTATACCAGACACAAAAATCTCTATGACATTCCCCGTGTCCGTCTAAACCTCTACAAAAATTCGATCTACATAGAAGGGCCTAAAATCTGGAATTCCCTGCCTGAAAACTCTAGAACTGCAGACTCAACCACCATTTTCAAAACTACCATTAAAAAACATCTTATCTCCCTAACATACCCCCACTGTCAGCAAACCAAATGAACATCACCAAATTCTCTTTTTTCTATCATGAACACATCCAAAACAATATAGTCTTACTCTCGTTATCTGTAATTCCTCCCTAATTTACACTTACGCCCACATAAATGACTATAAACATAAAATTCCTAATATAGTTAGTCCTAAGTTTGCCTAAGATACACTTCCAGTATATGAACTTTAATAGAAACAATGTATCATGCCAAGACAAATCCAATCCTATTACTAAATCTACCATTTGTAATATTGTTATATGATGTGTACTACCTAACTATTTTAAATCTAATTACGTATGTGCCTAATTAGGCATTTATCTAATTATGTATGCATCTAATCTAATATGTTCAAATGTACTGCTCCATAACCTACATATATCAATATAGAGTAAGAATTAGCATTACTAGGTAGTAGGTTGTTAGACAGCAATCACCCAGGGAGGTACTACCATCCTGCCAAGTGAGTGTAAAACGAAAGCTTGTAACTGTTTTACATGATGGTAGGATTGCTGGTGTCCTTTTTTCTGTCTCATAAACATGCAAGATTTCAGGTATGTCTTGCTACTTCTACTTACACTTAGGTCATACTACATATACAAGCATATACAGTGGAGCCCCGGTTTACGATCAGCTCCCAATGCGACCAATTATGTAAGTGTATTTATGTAAGTGCGTTTGTATGTGTACATTTGGGGGTCTGAAATGGACTAATCTAATTCACAATATTCCTTATGGGAACAAATTCGGTCAGTACTGGCACCTGAACATACTTCTGGAATGAAATAATATCGTAAACTGGGGGTCCACTGTATATACACACCCCTCTGGGTTTTCTTCTATTTTCTTTCTAGTTCTTGTTCTTGTTTGTTTCCTCTCATCTCCATGGGGAAGTGGAACAGAATTCTTCCTCCGTAAGCCATGCGTGTCATAAGAGGCGACTAAAATGCCGGGACCAAGGGGCTAGTAACCCCTTCTCCTGTATAAATTACTAAAATTAAAAAGAGAAACTTTCGTTTTTCTTTTAGGGCCACCCTGCCTTGGTGGGATATGGCCGGTTTGTTGAAAAAAAAAAAATTAGCATTAGTCTGCCCAAAATGCCTAGGCATGCCAGTGGCCTTCTTTGTAATTAATATCTTATAACATTAATATTATTATTATTAATATTAATATTAAGATATTAATATTATTAATATCTTATAACCTGACGATCTGTTGGAGTGTGAGCAGGTTAATATTTAGTGAAGGGATTCAGGGAAACCAGTTATTTTCATATAGTCGGACTTGAGTCCTGGAAATGTGAAGTACAATGCCTGCACTTTAAAGGAGGGGTTTGGGATATTGGCAGTTTGGAGGGATATGTTGTGTATCTTTATACGTATATGCTTCTAAGCTGTTGTATTCTGAGCACCTCTGCAAAAACAGTGATAATGTGCGAGTGTGGTGAAAGTGTTGAATGATGATGAAAGTATTTTCTTTTTGGGGATTTTCTTTCTGTTTTGGATCACCCTGCCTCGGTGGGAGACGGCCGACTTGTTGTAAAAAAAACAAAAAAAAAAACATGTAAACCACACATTGTAAGTTTTACAAGGAAATAAGCATTTGAATTTGAAGTGTTCGCAATAAAGCTAACAGAATTCTTGGCTTCATATCTAGAAGTATAAATAATAGAAGTCCTCAGGTTGTTCTTCAACTCTATATATCCTTGGTTAGGCTTCATTTAGATTATGCTGCACAGTTCTGGTCACCGTATTACAGAATGGATATAAATGCACTGGAGAGTGTACAGAAGAGGATGACAAAGTTGATCCCATGTATTAGAAATCTTCCCTATGAGGATAGACTAAGGGCCCTGAATCTGCACTCTCTAGAAAGGCATAGAATTAAGGGGCATATGACTGAGGTGTATAAATAAAAAAAGGGAATAAATAAAGGGGATGTAAATAACACACTAAAAATATCTAGCCAAGACATGACTCGCAAAAATTAAAATTAAAATTAAAAAAAAAAAAAAAAAATCAGCTTCAGGAAGGATATAGGAAAGTACTGGTTTGGTAACAGAGTTGTGGATAAGTGGAACAAACTCCCGAGTACAGTTATAGAAGCTAAAACATTGTGTAGTTTTAAATATAGGTTAGATTAACACAATAGTGGGTGCGGGTTGGACCTGACTAGCTTGTGCTACTAGGTCAGATGCCGTGCTCCTTCCTTAAGTGAATGTGACCTGACCTGACTAGGTACAGGCATTGGCTTAAGCTGGTGGGAGAACTGAACCTGCCTCGCATGGGCCAGTAGGCCTGTTGCAGTGTTTCTTCTTTCTTATGTTCTTATTATATGTCTATGTCCATTTAATATCTATGTCCATTATATGTCTATGTCTATAATATCCTAGGTAGTATGCTGGCAGACAGCAACCACCCAAGGAGGTACCACCATCCTGTGGTAGTATGCTGGTAGACAGCAACCACCCAAGGAGGTACCACCATCCTGTGGTAGTATGCTGGCAGACAGCAACCACCCAAGGAGGTACCACCATCCTGTGGTAGTATGCTGGCAGACAGCAACCACCCAAGGAGGTACCACCATCCTGTGGTAGTATGCTGGTAGACAGCAACCACCCAAGGAAGTACCACCATCCTGTGGTAGAATGCTGGTAGACAGCAACCACCCATGGAGGTACCACCATCCTGTGGTAGTATGCTGGTAGACAGCAACCACCCAAGGAGGTACCACCATCCTGTGGTAGTATGCTGGTAGACAGCAACCACCCAAGCAAGTACCACCATCCTGTGGTAGTATGCTGGTAGACAGCAACCACCCAAGGAAGTACCACCATCCTGTGGTAATATGCTGGAAGACAGCAACCACCCAAGGAGGTACCACCATCCTGTGGTAGTATGCTGTAGACAGCAACCACCCAAGGAGGCACCACCATCCTGTGGCAGTATGCTGGTAGACAGCAACCACCCAGGGAGGTACCACCATCCTGTGGTAGTATGCTGGTAGACAGCAACCACCCAGGGAGGTACTACCATCCTATGGTAGTATGCTGGAAGACAGCAACCACCCAGGGAGGTACTACCATCCTGTGGAAGTAGGTTGGTAGACAGCAACCACCCAGGAAGGTACTATCATCCTATGGTAGTATGATGGTAGACAGCAACCACCGAGGAAGGTACTACCATCTTGTGGTAGTATGCTGGTAAACAGCAACCACCCAGGGAGGTACTACCATCCTGTGGTAGTAGGTTGGTAGACAACAACCACCCAGGGAGGTACCACCATCCTGTGGTAGTATGCTGGTAGACAGCAACCACCCAGGGAAGTACTACCATCCTGTGGTAGTATGCTGGTTGGTAGACAGCAACCACCAACTGAGGTACTATCATCCTGTGGTATTAT